AGATTTATTGGGATAGAGAAAGACACAGAGACTCAAATCAAAGGAATGCACAATCTCATCGATGAAATAATACCAGAAAATTTCCCAAACATGAAGAATGAATTGGAAAATCAAGTACAAGAAGCTTACAGGACACCAAAGGTACAAAATTACAACAGATCTACACCAAGGCACATTATGATGAAAATGTCTAGCATACAGAATAAGGATAGAATCTTAAAGGCTGCAAGAGAGAGGAATCAGATCATATATAGGGGATAGGTGGAGACCAATTCATATCTCAGCAGATTTTTCAACCCAAAGCCAGGAGATCCTGGAACAACATACCAAGCTCTAAAAGTAAATGGATGCCAACCAAGAATCTTAGGTCCAGCAAAATTAAGCTTCAAATTTGATGATGAAATCAAAACCTTTCATGATAAGTGAAAGTTGAAAGAATTTTCAGCAAGAAAGCCTGCACTACAGAACATTATCAGCAAAATATTCCAGGAGGAAATGAAAAACAACAATGAAAATCACCAAAAGAATGAACTACACTAAAGGAAAGGCCAATTAAAGGAGAAACTAAGTCAAGTTTAAAAACCAAAATATATATATATTTCAATAATAACTTGAATGTGAATGGCTTAAACTCATCAATTAAAAGATACAGACTGATAGATTGGATTTAAAAAAAGACCCAACAATATGCTGACTTCAAGGTACTCATCTCACTGGAAAAGACATCCACAGACTAAAGGTAAAAGGGTGGAAAAAAATGTACCACTCACATGGACCATATAAACAAGCAAGGGTTTCCATCCTCATATCAGATAAAGTGGACTTCAAACCAAAGCTAGAGAAAAGGGATAAAGAAGGACATTTCATACTGCTTATGGGATTCATACATCAACAAGGCATAACAATCATAAATATCTATGTCCCAAACAATGGGGCATCTATATATATTAAACAAAACCTTTTCAACTACGAGAACCAAATAGTCAACAACACAATAATACTGGGTGACTTTAATACATCTTTCTCACCACTGGATAGATTTTCCAAATAAAAACTAAACAAAGAAACTATGGAACTCAATAAAACAATCAATAATTTAGACTTAACAAACATATATAGAATATTCCATCCATCAATAAGTGAATACACTTTTTTCTCAGCAGCCCATAAATCCTTCTCTAAAATAGACCATATGTTATGCCACAAAGAAAGTCTTAGCAAATACAAAAAACAGAGATACTACCCTGAATTCTATCTATCCATATCATATAGTGGAATGGAATTAGAAATCAATGATAAAATAAAAATAGAACATACTTCAGCATCTAGAGACTAAAGATATGCTATTGAATGATGCATGGATAACAGAAGACAACAAGGAGGAGATAAAAAAATTATTGGAGGTAAAGGAGAAATCTGATACAATGTAAGAGGCAGTGTTAAGAGGAAAGTTCATTTCTTTAAGCTCATTTATTAAAAGAATAAAAAGTCAACAAATAAATAACCTGACATTACATCTCAAATCCCTAGAAAAAGAACAAACCAACACCAAAAATATTAGAAGGCAGAAAATAATTAAAAACAGGGCAGAAATACAGTGAAATTGAAACAAAAGAAACAATTCAAAATATTGACAAAACAAAAAGTTGGTCTTTGAAAAAAACAAAATTGACAAACCCTTAGCCACCCTAATGAAAAGAAGGAGAGAGAAAACTCAAATTAGAAAAAAATCATGATGAAAAAGGAAACAACCCAAAAGATAATATTGAAATACAGAAGACAATCAGAAACTATTTTGAAAATTTATACTCCAGTAAAATAGAAAACCTCAAAGACACCAACAAATTTCTAGGGGCATATGATCAATCCAAACTGAGTCAAGAAGACATGCACAATTTAAACGGAACATAAGGAAATAGAAGACACTATCAAAAGCATACCAACCAAGAGAAGCCTGGGACCAGATGGATTCACAGCTGAGTTCTATAGGACCTCAAAGAAGATTAATACCCCTGCTTCTTGAATTATTCCATGAAAGAGAAAAGGCGGAAACCCTACCAAACTCATTCTGTGAAGCTAGTATCATCTGGATATCAAAACCAGGCAGAGACACATTAGGAAAGAAAATTTCAAACCAATATCCCTCATGAATATAGATGCAAAAAATCTCAATAAAATTCTGGCAAATTGCATATAGAAACATATTTAAAAAATAGTGCACCATCATCAAGTGGGATTCATTCCAGGGATGCAAAGTTGGTTTAACTTACATCAATAGACTTAAAGATAAGAATCATACGATTATATCAGTTGATTCAGAGAAAGCATTTGACAAAGTACAGCACCCTTTCATGTTCAAAACATTAGAAAAACTAGGGATAGTAGGAACATATCTCAACATTGTAAAAGCTATCTATGCTAGACTCAAGGCCAACATCATTCTAAATGGAGAAAAATTGGAAGCATTCTTCTAAAAACTGGAACAAGACAGGGGTGTCCTCTTTCACCACTTCTATTCAAAATAGTTCTTGAAACTCTAGCCAGAGCAATAAGACAGATGAAAGAAATTAAAGGGGTACAAATAGGAAAAGAAGAACTCAAACTATCATTTTCTGACAACATGAGTGTATACTTAGAGGATCCAAAAACTTCACCAGAAAACATCAAGAATTAGTGAATTCAACAAAGTAGCAGGATATAGAATCAATACCCATAAATCAAATGCATTTCTACTAATTAGTGATGAAACCTCTGAAAGAGAAATTAGGAAAAATACCCCATTCACAATAACCTCAAAAAAAATACTTGGTAATCAATTTAACAAAAGAGGTGAAAGACCTTTACAATGAAACTATAGAACACTTAAGAAGGAAATATAAGAAGACCTTAGAAGATGGAAAGATCTCCTATATTCTTGGACAGGCAGAATTAATATGTCAAAACGGTGATACTACCCAAAGTGCTTTATAGATTCAATGCAATTCCAATTCCAACATCATTCCTTATAGTAATGAAATTCACTTGGAAAAATAAAAGCCCCAGAATAGGCAAAGCAATCCTTAGCAAGAAGAGTGAAGCAAGAGGCATCACAATAGCAGAACTTAAACAATACTACAAAGCTATAGTAACAAAAATGGTATGGTATTGACACCAAAATAGACTTGTAGACCAGTGGTACAGAATAGAGGACACAGAGACAAACCCACATAAGTACACTTAGCTTATACTAGACAAATGTGTCAAAAACATATATTGGAGAAAAGATAGCCTTTTCAACAAATGGTGCTAGGAAAACTGGAAATCTATATGAAGCAAAATAAAAATAAACTCCCAATTCTCATCATAAACAAAACTCAATTCAAAGTGAATCAAGGACCTAGGAATTAGACCAGAGACCCTTCGCTTAATAGAGGAAAAAGTAGGCCCAAATCTTCATCACGTCAAGTTAGGTCCCAACTTCCTTAACAAGACTCCTAAAGTGCAAGAAATAAAGTAAAGAATCAATAGGTGGGATGGATTCAAATTAATAAGCTTCTTCTCAGCAAAGAAAACAATGTGGTGAAAAGAGAGCCTACATTTGGAGAGCAAATTTTTGCCACACACACGTCAAAGTACTAATCTCCAGGATATATAAAGAATTTAAAAAACAATGTCCCCCCCCCCCCGCAAAAAAAAAAACCCATCTAATCAATAAATGGGCTAAGGAGCTGAACAGACACTTCTCAGAACAAGATACACAATCAGCAAACATGAAAAAATGTTGAATGTCTATAATTAGAGGAATGCAAATCAAAACTACTCTAAGATTTCATCTCACTCCAGTCAGAATGGCAGTTATCAAGAATATCAACAAAAAAGTGTTGACAAGGTTGTGGGAGAAAAGGCACACTCATACATTGCTGGTGGGACTGCAAATTGGTGCAACCCATCTGGAAAGCAATATGGAGGTTCCAAAGAAAATTGGGAATGTAACCACTGTTTGACCCAGCTATCCCAGTCCTCAGTCTATACCCAAAGGACTTAATCACCACTCTATAGTAATGCAGCCACATCAATGTTCATAGCAGCTCAATTCACAATAGCTAAACTAGAAGCAAGCTAGAGGCCCATTGATAGATGAATGAATGAAGAAACTGTGGTATATATACACAATGGGATATTACTCAGCATTGAAAGAGAATAAAATTATGGCGCTGACAGGTAAGTGGATGGAATTGGAGAATATCATGCTAAGTGAAGTAAGCTAATCCCCCAAAACCAAAGGCTGAATGTTTTCTCTGATAAGTAGATGATGATCCATAATGAGGGGGGCATGGGAAAAATGGAGGAGTGTTGATTGGGCAAAGGTAATGAGTGGGGGATGTGGGCAAGAAAGATGGTGGAATGAGATGGACATCATTATCCTAGGTACATGTGTGACTGTATATATGGTGCAACGCTACATCGAGTACAGAGAAATGAAAAGTTGTGCTGCAACTGTGTACAATGAATCAAAATGCATTCTGCTGTCACATATACCTAATTAGAATAAATAAATACATTTATATAATAAAGAAAACATTTAAATTACTGGACAGTAGAGGTTTAATAAGAGGTATATCTATAAATATTAGTTTATCTATGTAAAAACAATGTGCTTGGCTAATTGAATTTTATTTAGGTAAAATATCTTAAGGAATTTATGAAGCAAACAATAAAATACCTAGTGCAAAAGAGAGAAAAACAGAAAATGAAGCAAGCATAATGTGTTATTTTATCAAAATATAAATATGTAAAGTGTCTGCCAATTAATGAACAGAATATAGCAATTAGTTCAGTACCATAATTTTAAGGAGAGCCATAATCATGAGATATCACTGTGGTTTGTAGCCTGATGGCTAGCTTGGGGTGCTTTTACAATAATGATTCCTCTTAAAAAGGAGGTGGGCCAAAAAGTAAAATAGTTTCTATTGCTTTAGAGTATAGGATTTCAACACTGGGTTTCTTTTTGATTCAAGATCCTAAAAATGTGAAAGAGACTTAAGAGATAAACCCACAGAATGCCTATTTCCCATAGAACTTCTTCTGTCCTTCAGATCTTTCAAACAGTTTTTGTCTGGTCTTATGAGAATTATGTAGCACTTGGGGGCAAAGATGCAGCCCAGGAGCCCTACACTGGAGGCCAGAATGGAGAAGACCTCCACGGCCACCATGACCTTGCCCTTGGTGCTGTGGTACACAGGGAGGAAGGTGAGCCAGACACTGCAGAACACCAGCATGCTGAAGGTCAGGAACTTGGCTTCATTGAAGGTGTCAGGCAGGTTCCTGGCCAGGAAGGCCACCGTGAAGGTCCCCAGGGCCAGGGAGCCCAGGTATCCCAGGGCACAGTAGAAGGCAGTGACGGAGCCCTTGTTGCACGTGATGATGATGTGGCCATGTTCAGAGTGTGTGTCTGTGTCCACAAAGGGAGGAGAGGTCCCCAGCCAGACCCCACAGAGAGTCAGCTGGATGAGGGAGCAGCTGGGAATGATGAAGTTAGGTGCCCCTTACACCAGCCACTGCCTCATCCTTCTCCCTGGGACAGTGACCTTGAAGGCCAGAATCACAGTGACAGTTTTGGCCAAGACTGTGGAAACTGCCACAGTGAACACCAGTCCAAATGTGGTCTCCTGCAGGATGCAGGTGGCTGTGCTTGGACGGCCAATGAAGAGCAGAGAGCAGAGCAAACAGAAGGTGAGGGAGATGAGCAGGATGTAGCTGAGAGCCCTGTTGTTGGCCTTGACTATGGGGGTGTCTCTGTGCTTCACAAAGACCCCGAGGACAGCAGCTGTGAGTGCAGAGAAGCAGAGAGCCGTGCAGGCCAGAGCCATGCCCAAGGGGTCTTCATAGGCCAGAAATGTCACAGCCTTTTGGAGACAGGTGGTTCGCTCCGTGTTGGCATACTGATGAGCTGGACACTTCACACACTGGTCCATGTCTGGTGAGAAATGCAGTGTCAACAGTCCTGGGTCAGTAATTTTCTTACTCTTAGGCCCTCTCAAAGTAGAGCACTGAACAATCTTAGCCAAAGTGTCCTTCCTTGTTGCTTTGGATGGTGAATGAAAGAGCTGTGTGAGGAATGATTCCCAGTCAACACTCCCCATCTTCTTTATGGTTTGGAAAACATAGCTATTGTTTCTTTCATCCACTTACCTTGCATTGCATGTTCATGAGACCATCTTCCTTATCTAACAACAAAGCCATATCTACTTCTTACTGTGCTCAAGATACAATAATAAACTAACTTTGAGCTCACAGTTCATGAAAGCACACATTTACCATGAACACTTCTGGAACCCAAGAAGTTCAGGCTGGCAGAGCTTCTTGTCCATGGTCTGACACAGGCTCTCTCTGTTGCAAGGAAGGTGGCTATTGCTGTGTCCCCCCACCTGGTTGTCAGTGCAAACTCCCCAGGCCTTGGTTAGGGTAGCACTAATCTTATGAAGGAAGGTGGAAACTGCATGATCCTACACCACCCAAAGCTCTACATCCTCATACCATCACCTTGGGGCTAAGTTTCAACATATGGGTTTGGGAGGACATAAAACACCTGCCTCTCTCCCCAAATATCATCTGGATAAGTTTGTTAGACCATCGGAAGGAAATGAATTGCTAAGTCACAAGCATCTAGAGATGACAGTATTCAATTTCACGGGGAGTGAGTCCTCCTAGCCCAAAGCTGCAGTGTCCACTGAGAACATGCAGGTGTGGAGTGGCATCCGCAGACCAGCTGTGATAGCCATCCCCGCCACCTTCCTAGTGCTGTGTCTTTCTCCCCAGGGACGGGCCTTATTTGTCCACTTCTTCAGTCTTCTTTCATTTTTCTCGTTCTTTCAAGATTGCCATTAAACTTATTTCTATATATTTCACAAGATTAAATGTTGTGTTATCTTTTAAATTTTCTTTTTTGAGAACAAGGAGACGAGTAATAGAAACAAGCAGTTTGCACCCAGGAAATAGAAGTCCGTTCCCACCAAAATAAATGACTAATTCCTTAATTCATTTGGAATTTTTTGTTCATGCAACTGAACACCGTGAGTCACTTCCTCTCCAATATGGTCTTCCTTCTGCCTCAGTCCTCTGGGACCAGCTGTGGGTAGGACTTGGTGTGGGGTCGAGCAGGTGTGGCGGTGCGCGAACTCGTCCTGTTCTTGTCCTCAACCTGACTCAGGTGCACTGTGCCTGCTGTGCTGTTCTAGGACACTCTTGGTAGGATTTAAACCCATCTTTCTTACTCCTATGCTAAGAGTTGTTTCTCTGGATTTAGTGCAAAAGGAATGGGAACTGCATTTTATTAACCGTTTGCAGGTGTTTGGTTATAATTTGTTTCTTTTCCTGGGACTCTGTTTACTTACATTGTATAAACCAGTTTTGGTCATGATATAATCCCTTTCTACAATATGGTAGGATTGCTTTTCTTTTCATTTTTAATCATATGTGAATTTCGTTCAAGGAGAGTGGCTTGTATGTTTCCTTTCTTCTAATGAGCATTTCAGTGTTGACAACAAAAGTTAACCTATTAGCATAAAGAAATTCAATTTCCCTACTCCTTTGTATATCTTGCTTTTGTCTGTGCATATTAATTGTGTATTTTAATGGGATTCCCTGTGATATTCCCTCCTGTGCATCCAGTCTACAGGAACTGGATCCATCCACCCTTCTTCCATCCTCTCCCCTCTCTCTCCAGGTAAGCATCCCAGTTTCAAATAGTCACTGTTTCATTTTCAGGTCAAGTTTGTTTTTTGTTTTGTTTTGTTTTCTTTCCACATATGAGAGAGGAAATGAGATGCTTATTTTTCTGGGTCTGGCTTATTTAATGTAACATGAAGTCCTCCTTCTCCATCTGTTTCCTTCCAAGGCAGGATTTCCTTCTTCTTTTTGTCTGAGTAATATTTCACTGTGCACGTGTACCACATTTTCATTATCCATTAGCACGTTGATGTGTGTATGACTCCATATTATGGCTATCATGGATAATGCAAAACATGGGAGTAAAAATATCTTTCAAGCAAGCTAAATTTATTTCCTTGTGCATGTGCTCAGTCCTAGGGCTGCTGGATCATATGACGTTCTTTCTTAGGTTTTTGAGAAAACTCCATCCTGTTTTCCACGCTGGCTGTACTCACGTACTTCCTGCCAACAACGGATAAGTGTTCACGTTCCCGGCATCCTAGCCAGAGTTTGCTATTATTTATTTTGGATAGCACTACTCTAACTGGGGTGAGGTGGCAGCCCGTTGCCATTGTGATTTTCACTTCCCTGAGGCTTTTGACTAAGTGGCTGCTGTGTCTTCTTGAATGTTTGATGGCATTCACCAGTGAAGTGGTTAGCCACAATAAAAATGTGTTCGAGTTTTTAGACAATAGTTCATGTAAAGCATTTAAAAAACACTTCTAAGACATAAATATGGGGTTGTTCAGATTATTTCTTGACATCTTTGACAACCATTCTCGACACTGTAGCTTTTCAGGTTGACTTAAATCTTCATGACGCTAACAATTCTTGGTAGACCTTTATAGAGGACCCACTTTCTGTCTCGTTTTTGAAATTTTTCTTGAAAGAGAATTAGTCTTTCTCACATAGTTGGTATTTTATAACCCCTGGTCTGTTTAGAAGAGTATGTTTAAATTCCCAAGCACATAGGAATTGAAGCTGCTGGGAGTTGTGCACACGAGCCAGCAACTAGCTTACCACATACCGATTGTGCAAGAGAGAACGTTCACTGAAACTGCTCATTTATTGGACTATGTTGTTAGAATAAGTATACTTCAAATCAACTGAAATAATGTGGAATGTGTTACAAATTAGGCTACATATCAGTCACAAAAAGTAGAAAATCCCCACTCTAGAGTAAGTTTTCCTGCATCACCATTTAATGTCAAATCTGAGCAGCTCAAAGTAGACTGGTGTTCCTTTTTCACATCCTCTCCCAACATACAACCACCTTTTTATGTGAGGTTGCACTGTGTATGTTTGTTAGGTTCTCTGGCTATCAGATGAAGTGGTGACTCCCTGTAATTAGCCATTTCTAATACTTAACCAATTCTTAATGCACACTCAGTGATCATCATTAGTAGACACTACACCACTTTCAGGAAGTCCATGCCAACCTTCAAGCATGTAGATGGCATCACCCATGACACACTAGAATTTTTGTGATTGCATCTAGTACAGTGTAACGGATACCTTGAGTTCACCTCTCTATGTGGTGTTTCTCACTCAGGTGAGCTAGGGGAGAGCAGGAAGTACAGCCTACTTACTGGGAGTATGCTATACCATAGCCATTCTATATTGCAGCAATATTTACTCCTCAACTCAAATACAACCTTTCTGAGCACCTGCCCTGCATCAAGAACAGTGCTGTGTACTGAGAAAGTGAGGCTATGCAAGACCCTCATCTTCAGTGTGAACCAAATGTACCTTCAAAGAAGCTGAAAGTGGACACATATAGCACTATGTGTTAAATTCACAGGTGGAAATGAAACTTAGGCTACTGTTCGTGGTCAAAAGACATTTCCTGGGACGACACTGTGTAAGGTGGGTCTAGAATGCGGAGTCAAACCATGTGGTTCAAGGGACAGGAGGTTTATTATTTCATGGGGTGGTACTATTGATTATCACACCTGAGTTTTTAACTTAAGCAAGGAAAAATTTTGTCCCTACATTTCTCTTCCATATCAATTGGAAGTTCCTTGCGTGGTTTGAGGGATACAGAAGATCCCAGGAATTTCTCCTAAGGCATGCACTCACCTGTCTGGTTGGAAATCTCGTCCTCTGGGCAGGGAGTGCAGTCAAAACAACAGGCAGGCCTTCCCTCCTGAGGGGACTTCCTGAATCCAGGTCCACAGCTCACACTGCAGGCTGAGTTGGGAGTCTAGGATATTAAAATACATGTTGGCAAGAGAGAACTTTGACCCAGTCCCATAGTAACTGTAATGCTTTAGAGTATTGGACCACTAATAAAGATACTTTGTGGGCTGGGGATGTGGCTCAAGTGGTAACGCACTTGCCTGGCATGGGCTGGGCCCTGAGTTCCATCCTCAGCACCACATAAAAATAAAATAGAGATGTTGTGTCCATCGAACACAAAAAATAAATATTAAAAAATTCTCTCTCTCTCTAAAACATAAATATACCTACCCAAAATTAATTGATAAAAGACCAACTACATGGCAAATGTGATACATATGGACATTTAGAAACCCATGGTCAAATGCACATGTTTGTTTCCCAACCATCAGAGAGTCACTAAGGAAATCTTGGAAGGTGAAATATGATGCAAAAAACATCCAGATGTGGCCATTTCCTAACCTCTGGAGAGGCACATGACCCACCATACAATTTGGTTCTCTAAGTGTAATGCAAAGAACTTTGATCAGGACCAACCCACCTGTCTATCTCCTGTGGCCCACTCTATCTTGTCCTCAGATAGAGACAGTTGTTGTCCCTGTGGTAAATAAGGGGAAAACGTTCCAACTTTCAC